GGGGCAGTGCGGTAGGGGAAGAGACGGTAGTACGGAACCGACTCGTCAAACGTGACGTCCTGGGAGGACAGAACACGACGCGAGGTGGGGTGGTAAAACTGCCAACCCGGCGCGTCAGGGGGAAAGCCGAGGAAGACGCAAGGAACAGCACGGGAGGACAGCTTGTCCGCAGACAAGTCTCGGACGAAAGCTCGAGATCCCCAGACACGGAACGCAGACGCATCACCCACCCCGTCCACCGCAGAGTAGGGGAGGTCTCCGGCAGGGAGACCCGGGGCTGAAGGTTGATCTGATGCGCCGCGTACTGAACCGCGAACGGCCACAGAAAATGGGGTGCAGCCGCATGGATCATGGACGTACGAGCGACATCCATGACCATGCCAATGCGGCGCTCAGCAATCCCATTTTGCTGTGGAGAGGCCGGAAGCGTGAACGTCTGGCGGATGCCCTCCGCACGACAGAAGGCTCGCAGAAGGTCGGAGGAAAACTCTCCGCCTCTGTCGGAGTGCAGACGCAGAACAGGAAAGTCCGAGCCGAAACGCTCTCTGAGCTGGAGACGAGCAACGCGGATCCAGTCGATCAACACCTCAGTGACCTCACCCTTGCTGCGCAAGGGGAAGACAGTGGTGTAACGCGAGTAGTCGTCAACCACCAGCAGGAAGTAACGCTCGTGACCCTGTCCACGGACGCGGGCTGGGCCCCACACGTCCATGTGAAGAGTCTGCAGCGGAGCCTCTGTCGGGGGAAACTCGGAGGAGTGAGGAGCGGCGCGCTGCCGCCCCTCGACGCAGGGAACGCAGGTAGGGGCAGGCCCCGGGGGAAGGGGAGGGAGGGACCGGGGGAGACCAGAGACAAGGACACGGGAGGCCATGCCTCGGAGACGAGGCAAGGAGGGGTGACCAAGGCGGTGGTGCCAGAGGAGGGTCTGGTGGGACAGGAGGCGACACGAGCAGGGGGCAGACTCAGGACCTGACCGAGACGCTGCAGCAAACACCTGACTCGACGCAGCTACCTGACCAGACGCAGCAACCGGAGGAGACTCTGTGGTCAGTGTGTACAGGCTCGACCCCGGTCGACGGGTAAACGAGGCCAAGTGGCGGCCCGTCTGAGCACACGTGCAGTGGGTCACTCGCTGACCTGCAGGAGTGAACTGGTCAACTCCGGCATCCTGAAGGTCAGCACCACTCACCAAGTTCGTGGAGAACGAGGGGAGGTAGAGACCAGACAGGGAGCCTGACGGGGCCGCCGGACACGGGAGGACAGTGGAGTAGCGAGCAAGGACAGGACCCCTAGAGGGGTCTGCCAGGGAGACCGCAACCGGCCGACTGAGCGGCGTAAGGGTGGTGCGGTCTCAAAAGAAGGAGCGGGAAGCACCCGAGTCGAGGGTGAAGGTGTGAAAGACCTGAGCCGACGCGGTACCTGAGAGAGCAGACTCACCAGCACCTAGAGTAGCAGACTCACGAGTACCTGGAGCAGCAGACTCACTAGCACCTAGAGCAGCAGCCTCAATACCAGGGTCAGGCGGAACACACACGTAACAGTCACCCTCAGCACTAATAGACACAGCATACATGGCAGCAAGAATAGCATCAAAGTCAAGATCAAAGATAGCTACCCCCGACCTGAATAGATCTCCCCAACGAGGGATCTCAGTGGCGTCCGGGAACTGGGCACGCCAGGCGTCCGTCAGGCGACCGAAGCAGCGCTGGGTGGCGTGCAGGCCGCCACACTGCTCTCCAGTGCGGTCACCAGTGCGTAGGACGTAAGTACAGGGACCAGCACCCCCAGACCCCTGGCGCCCCGCGTACCACTCACGAAGCTGCTGGGGCGAAGGGGTCTCACGAGAGCGCTGCTGCTGCTGGGGTCCCCGCTGCACAGCTCCGCCTCTGCCAGCTCCACCTCCGCCGCCGCCGCCTCCGCCTCCTCCACCCCTCCCGCCACCGCCGCCTCCACCTCCACCGCCGCCACCGAAGCCCCCACCTCTACCACCACCCCCACCCCCACCCCCTCCTCCGCCTCCACCGCCACTACCGCCGCCCCCACCACCTCCTCCAGCTCCCTTGCCCCGCTTGCCCTTGCTGATGCGGCGCCTCTCACTAGGAGCAGACGCAGCGCTGACCGACTCGGTGCCAACAAGGTCGACAGCAGCAGCAGAGGCAACAGAGGGCAAAAGAGGAACGGGGGAGCACCCCTCAAAGAAAGGGGTACGGGGGTCACCACGAGAGGCGCCTACAGCGGTGATACTAGTCTCTGCTGCAAGGAGGCGCTCCTCGAGGAGGTCGACAGTGAGGGTGGTAGGGCAAAGAGAGAGGAAGTGGTCCCTGACCGAGCGGAGAGTGTCAGGGAGTCGAGTGACTAGGTAGTAGAGGGTGATGTACATGGGGGGGGGGTTCTGGGCGCAGAACTCAGCAGGAAGCGCAGTGCGGTAGCGAGTGTCACTAGTGCGAAGGTGCGTAATGAGGTCAGTGACTGTGGCAAAAGCAGCGAGGTCAGGGAACAGGTACGGTAGCATGAGGCGGCTAAGCGCAGCAGTGGCAGGGGAAGAGTAACGTGCAACTACTGCGTCGTACAGAGTCTTAGCACTCTTGTACTGACTAAAGTGCGCGCGCTCAGTAGACGGTAGGTGACTACGCACAGCAAGGCGGGCAGCAGCATCGCGCGTGAGCCACTGCGAGCGAACGGTACTGTCAGCATCAGCAGCAGGGGCAGTAGAGGCGCCCGACGTAAGATCAAACAGGGAGAGACCATCCTTGCTATCGCACTGAAGGAAAAGCTGCAGATCATCTAGCCAGACATCAAAGTCAACCGCTCGACCCTCAGCATCAAAGGTGAGAAGACTAGGACTAGCCATGATAGGAGCAGCAGCAGACTAGCAGCGGCAGCAGTGCAACTGAGCGAGGCAGGACAGTGCGACTCGGCAGGGCGACTCGGCAAAGCAGTGCGGCTCGGCCGCGCGGCTCGGCCCGGCTAGGCTCTTACCAGGGGCGGAGCCGACAGGTCCGGGACTGGGTCGGGGCCGTGACAGGGCCGGGACAGGGTCGGGGCCGAGCAGGGTCCGGGACGGGGCAGCAACGGGGCCGGGACAGGGTCAGGGCCGGGGCAGGTCCGGGACGGGGCAGCAACGGGGCCGGGACAGGGTCGGGGCCGGGGCAGGTCCGGGACGGGGTCGGGGCCGGGGCAGGTCCGGGACGGGGCCGAGGTAGGGCCGGGACAGGGTCGGGGCCGGGGCAGGTCCGGGACGGGGTCGGGGCCAAGGCAGGTCCAGGACGGAGTCGAGGCCGGGGCAGGTCCGGGACGGGGCCGAGACGGGGCCGGGGTAGGGCCGGGACGGGGCCTTTTAGGGGCTGCGTAGGGGCCGCGTCAGGTACGGGGCCGGGTCGGGCCGTTTAGGGGCCGCGTAGGAGCCGCGTAGGGGCGGCGTAGGGGCCGCGTAGGGGCCGCGTCAGGGACGGGGCCGGGTCAGGCCGTGTAGGGGCGGCGTAGGGGCCGCTGAGGGGCCGCGTAGGGGGCCGCGCAGGGGGCCGCGTAGGGGCCGGGTAGGGGCCGCGTAGGGGCCGCGTAGGGGCCGGGTAGGGGCCGCGTAGGGGCCGCGTAGGGGCCGCGTAGGGGCCGCGTAGGGGCCGCGTAGGGGCCGCGTAGGGGCCGCGTAGGGGCCGGGTAGGGGCGGGGCCGCGTCAGGGATGGGGCCGCGTCAGGTACGGGGCCACGACGGGGCCGTTTAGGGGCGGCGTAGGGATCGTGTAGGGGCCGCGTAGGGGCCGTTAGGGGCCGCTAGGGGGCCGCGAAAAAAAAATTTAGGGCAGGGCGCGAGACGCGCTTCGGGCAGCTAAAAAAAAGTTGCTTATGGTGGGCCCTTCGGAAGGAACGGTCCCATGAGGGAACCCGCTCTATACCATGTGAAGAATTAAACAGGAATGGATCAACTAGGAAAGTGTGAGATACAAATATAAAACCTGTACCCCTTAGTGTCTACCCCACTACAGCCTACATAGGCTAAGGCATATACATCTGACACTGCAGCAAGGCGCTCCTCTAGCAGGTCCACAGTCAGCTCGGTGGGGCAAAGGGAGAGAAAGTGGTCCCTGACTGAAGAGAGAGAGTCAGGGAGGCGGGTGACTAGGTAGTAAAGGGTGATGTACATGGGGGGGGGGTTCTTGGCACAGAACTCAGTGGGAAGGGCAGCGCGGTAGCGGGCGTCACTAGTGCGAAGGTGAGCAACTAGGTCAGCGACTGTGGCAAAGGCGGCAAGGTCAGGGAAAAGGTACGGCAGCATGAGGCGACTGAGGGCAGCAGTGGCAGGGGAGGAGTAGCGTGCAACTACAGCGTCGTACAAAGACTGAGCAGTCATAAGCGGGCAAACGTCATTCCCGCTTCTGGTGCCCCCTTCCCCCAATCTGATCCATGCTCTTCTCCCTGAATTCGCCTGTCAGTGGGATTCTCCACGGGTCCGTCAGCTCGGTTCGGTCAGCTCAACATCCTAGAACATACCTATTGCCGGCTGCTGGTCAGTAGTCCTGAAACGGAATAGTTCTTATCTCTCTGTATCACATCGTTCAAGTTTCTTTCGCTCTTTCTGAGCTTTTCACTTGAGTTAGCAAGCCGAATCTGGATTTCTGACGCACCGTAGTCATGGCCAAAAGGTTTGACCTAGATGGCAAGGAGATCGCACCCATTAGAATGTGTATCATTGGAGCAGCTGGTTTCATCGGATCGCACCTATGCGAGGCTTTGATGTGGGAGACCAATCATTTAGTGGTGGCAGTCGATATGTACAATGACAAGATCGAGCACCTGCTGGGTGATTCTCATCCATGGAGCGGTCGTATGGAGTTTCACCAGTTTAACATCAGCAATGATCCGCGTCTTGAAGGCATCATCAAGTCATGTGACTTGGTGGGTCTTACTACTCTATATGCAACAAATGCTCGATGTTACCCACCCGAAACGCTGCATTATGCCTTGTGAAACTTGAGCTCTAACGACGAAAATTCTTCGTGCAGACGGTTAATTTGGCTGCCATCTGTACTCCAGCGGATTACAACACAAGGCCGCTGGATACTATCTACAGCAACTTCGTCGATGCTCTCCCCGTGGTTAGTTCGCCTTCCAATCACAATGTACATAAAATTTGATTTCTCTAGGGGGATGTAACATGACGGATTGTCTTTTGCAGGCCAAGTTCTGCTCCGATTTCAAAAGAAGATTGATTCATTTCTCCACCTGTGAGGTCTATGGCAAGACCGTTGGAGCCTTTTTGCCTCCTGACAGCAATATGCGCAACGTAAGAGCCTCCCTTTCGACGTCTGTATTGTCAAGTCCATTTTGATTAAGCACTAACGAGTGTCTGACGATTACTGTCTTGCTCTAAACGTAACAGGATCCCCAGTATTATGTGCTGAAAGAAGACGAAACGCCTTGCATTTTCGGGCCTGTGCAAAAGCAACGGTGGTCATACGCTTGTGCAAAGCAGCTCATTGAAAGGGTCATCTATGGTGAGCTGTGCACACCACTTCTGTTGGTTTATTTGGTTGGCTCGCTGGGACTAAATGGAAGATATTTTGTTCTGTGTCACAGCTGAGGGGGCTGAAAATGACCTCAAATTCACCATCGTCCGCCCGTTCAACTGGATTGGTCCGCGTATGGATTTTATCCCTGGAATTGATGGCCCCAAGGATGGCGTGCCTCGCGTTCTTGCTTGCTTCAGCAATGTAGGTACTGAAGGTTTAGTATATGGTGCTCCACTTTAGGTGTTCCAGTTTGTCATCTCTGAGCTTGTCGCGTTGTCCCTGCAGCAACTTCTGCGCGGAGAACCATTGAAGTTGGTTGACGGTGGCAAGTCACAACGGACCTTTGTGTACATCAAGGATGCAATCCGCGCCGTGATGCTTATGATTGTAAGTCTATTTGATGCTTATGCTGCATATATGTATGCTTAATTGCTCATTAGTCTGACGAAGTTCACGTATTGCAGGAGAACCCAGAGCGAGCAAACGGGCACATATTTAATGTCGGTAACCCCAAGAACGAGGCTAATGTTCGTGAACTGGCCACGATGATGACACGGGTATGTGAGATGGCTCCAAGTAGTCTATGAAGTAAGTGGGTCTTTCGTCTCTAATGGTTACTCATCTCATGCCGTGCAGATCTATTGCAAAGTGAGCAAGCAAGCAGAGCCTGCAACACCCACAGTCGATGTTACATCAAGTGACTTCTATGGAAAGGGTTATGACGATAGTGACCGCCGAATTCCAGACATGACACTTATTCAGCAGCAGCTGGGTGAGTCTTCTCACATTTTGTGTGATATGGTAATTATTGTTGTTGTGTGAGATCTTAACAGGCTGGAATTGTACTTTGCAGGTTGGGAGCCAGAGACTTCCTTGGAAGAGTTGTTGGATGTGACCCTGACATATCAGTACAGCACATACGCCGAGGCTATTCGACGATCGATGGCACAGACAACTGCAGCGACCTGAACCTGAGGAGACACTAAAACCAGACGTGCCAGCAGCTCCAGGTCATAATTCAATTAAGCTGTAGTTTTAGCGTTGACCATGACTCAAGTTAGTGTATTACTGCTTTCTCTTTGTTATGTCGGATGTAGCTCAGCGATATCTCTGTAGGCGTTGGCTGAAGGTTAACCATTAATGGAATGTTCTGTGCGAGTTTTATGCTGGAATAAAGCAATAACTAAGGTTTGGATGGAGGGACACCTTTGGCCATCCACAGCAAAGAAAAATACTGCCAACAAGTTTCCATTCATCTATTCAGACCTATCACCGTAACAAAAATGTCAATATCCACAGCAGATCGTTGTTGACCAGGTGATTCCTCTCCTTCCCACATTTGTTGTTAGGCATCCTTCTTGACGCAGCTTAGGGACAGCTGTGCCACGTGTCGACTACATTCTACGGGGTCGGGGCGCGAGTCCGATCCTGTGACGGAAGTTCCGCGCTTTAATCTTCCATGGCTAGACCAGACGAGTCAAGCGCAGAGGAGAGCTCTCCGTTTATGAACATCCACTCGCGAGCAGCCTCATCTCACCCACCTCTTCACGCTCCACCTGTCCACCGATCTTCCTCACCGGATTCTCGAGACTCGTTTTTCTCCCTGCCATTCTCCTCGCTGTCCGCGTCCTCTTTTTCGATCTCTTCAATCCGACGGCGAGAATGGGCTATATTTTTCCGCCAGCTATTAGACCGGCGTTGGTGGGAGTCCGCTTCACGGCATTTGCGCAACAATCCTCGCGAGTTCATCGCATCTGCATTCGCTACTAGCGACGGCTGGTTTCCCGGAGCGAAGCCGTATATCGCCGCCCTCCTGATCATCCTCGTTATTATCACGCCGCTATGGCTAGTCTCCAGCATATCAGGAGCGAGTGTATATCATTCGGAAGAAAATGCGGGATCGGATGAAGATTTGCGAGGGGAATGGAACACCAAGGCAGGGCGGAATGTACTGGATGCCGTCTTGTGCCATGCAGAGGCAGTTTACCGGGTGAGTGAATGGGGTGACTTTTGGGTTGACGTGATGATGAGAATCGTTTTGAGACGTCTCAAAACAAAAGTATCATCACGTGGCAGTATACTGGATGAGTGAATATGGCTCGAAAGTCATCTCGGATGGGAAGATGCAAGGGGAATGGAACACCAAGGCAGGACGGGATGGGCTAGATGCCGTCTTATGCCATGCAGAGGCAGTTTACCAGGTGAGTGAATAGGGAGTAAATTTCAATGTGGGGAAAGAGCTGATCAGATTCCGACAGATTGGATGCTGTTTCGTGGCAAGCGGGGGCAGTATACTAGGAGTGAATGGATTGTACTTCTCATTGTGGAAAGAGCGGGTATGCTTTCTGTCTAATGCATGCGGTTTCATGGCAGGCAGAGGCAGTGTAGCTCGTGAGTCTATATAGCTATATTTCTTGTAGCGGCTCTCCCTTTCCTCATCTCCCCACTTCGCCCGTCCCCCACCACCTTCAGTTCAGGCCAACATGGCAAACAGAAAGGCGTCCGTAGGGGACCATGTACAGCCCATGCTGACGGATTTCCACCACATGCGCATGCGCGTGCTCTTTTCTTCTCTTCCTCTCTTCTTCCCCCTACCACCTCTCTTTCTCACCATTTCAGGCCAACATGGCCAGCTTGAAGGCGTCCCTTGGGGGTCATCTACAGCCCATGCTGAGATGTGCCTCTCCCCTCTTCCCCTCCCTCTCCCCCTCTCCTGCTCCCTCTCCTTCTCTCACCATTTCAGGCCAACATGGCCAACATGAAGGCGTCCCTAGGGGGTCATCATCTACAGCCCATGCTGAAAGATTTCCATGGCATGCGCATGCGCGTGCTCCTTTCAACTCTCCCCCTTTTCTCTTCCCCCCCACCACCTCCCTCTCTCACCACCTTCAGGCCAACATGGCCAACAGAAAGGCGTCTCTAGGGGGCCATCTGCAGCCCATGCTGAAGGACTTTCACCACACGCACATGCGCGTGCTCATTCCCACGTACCCTTTCCTCTTTTCTCAACTGCTCTCTCTCACCCTCCTTGTCTCCCCGCACTACCCCCTTCCCGCACCACCGTCAGGCCAACATGGCCAACAGAAAGGCGTCTCTAGGGGGCCATCTGCAGCCCATGCTGAAGGACTTTCACCACATGCGCATGCGCGTGCTCATTCCCACGTATCCTTGTCCCTATGAGGAGCGGGTGGGGGCGTGGGGCGTGGGAGGGAAGGTGCGTGTAGGGGCCTAGGGTGTAAGGGGAAGGGAAGGCGTATGTTGAAAAGGAAATGGGAAGAATCAGGGACTTGAATCGTATGCACTTGCGCGTGCTCATTCCCACGTTCCCCTGCCCCCATGAGGAGAGGGTGGGGGCATGTGGCGTCGGGGGGAAGGTGTGTGCGAAGGGGGAAGGTGTGTGGGAGGGCCTAGGGTGTGGGAGGCAAGGTGTGTGTGGGGAACCTAAGGTGCGTGGAAGAAAGCTACTAATAGGGCGTGGGGAATTGAAGTTGCTAATAAGGAATGAAAGAACTCATCAGGACCTTCGGGTCCTCACCCACACTCACCATTTGACTATGCCTCTTACATTCTCAAAAATCCCTCCCTCACACTCTCCTTCCCTCTCTATCTCCCTCCCAGCATCCCTTGCTTTTCTTCCCTGTGAGGGTGTTTGTTATCATTGAAACCGGCTTGAGCGCACCTGATTATGCGTGCCAGCTATGTGCTTGATATAATAGAACCATGCTGTGAGCGCGCCTGAAATGTTTGACTTACAGAAAGGAGATTACGTTAGCCAGCTGTCATCTCCTTCCCCTCTCTCCCTCTCCATTTCTTCATGTCTCCCCTCCCTTCCCTTCCTTGCCCCCCTCTACCCGTCCCCTCCATCCCTCTCCCCTTCTTACTTCCCCGCTCTCTATCCCTTCCTCCCTTCCTTCCTCCCCACAGTGGGTGTGTTTGATCCCAACAGCTGTTCAAGCCAAACCCGTTGTCTACAGGTGAGCCCAATCAAGGGAGACTTTTTGCAAGCTGCCCATAAAGTTTTCGCCAGGGTTTAGACCCCTCGCTCAGCCTCTAACCCCTCTCTCAGCCTCTGTACCCTTCCTCGCCATTCCCAGACATACACGTGTAGCCACCATTATGGCCACCACTATTGCTCTCATCCACCATCATCCATGCACACTCGATCGCTTCCTCTCTCCCCCTCACACCTTCCTTCAACCACTCTCCTGCCCCCTGACCTCCCCTCTCCCTTCTCTCCCACCTCTCCCCAGTGTGGGCAGTGACGAGGAGTATTCATTCGAAGAGTCAATGTTTCGCCACTACCGCTCCCAGCCCTACACGCTCGACCCGTTTCTCTCCCCGCAAGCCCAGGCACGCATGCAGCTGCTGCGCTTCCTGCACTTTCACTCGCTGGGGCTGGCTGGGAAAGCATCGTTAGGCGACTACCAAAAATGGAACCCGAATGTGACTTTCCGCACTCTGCCTGAATTGATGCAGGTAGGTGGGGAGGGCGGGGGACGGAAAGCGCGAGGGGAGCGAGGGAAGAGAGGGGAGGGAGAGGAAAGGGGAAAGAATGGAGAGAGAGTGGGGTGATGACTGCAAGCCCAGGCATGCATGCAGCTTCTGCGCTTCTTTCACTTCCACTCCGTGAGGCTCTCTGGGCGGGCTTCGTTGGGCGATTATCAGAAGTGGAATCCTAATGTCACTTTCCGCACTCTGCCCGAACAGATGCAGGTAGGTGTGGGGAGAAAGAAGAGTGGAGTGAGAGAGGGGTAGAAGGTGTGGATGGGGGTATCGTTGGGAAAGCTCAAGTGCGCATGCAGCTGCTGTGCTTTCTGCTCTTCCATTCCCTGGGTCTCTTTGGAAAGGCTTCGTTGGGCGACTATCAGAAGTGGAACCCCAATGTCATGTTCCGCACGCTGGCTGAACTGATGCAGGTAGGTGGGGAGGGATGGGGAGGGATAGAGCGAGGATGGGGAGAGGAAGAAGAGTGGAGTGAGAGAGAGGTGAGAGGGTGGAGTTGGGGGTATGGTGAAACAGAAATGGAGGTGTGGTTATGCAGAAACGGAAAGCCCAGACGCTGCCCTAGGCCCCGCAAAGAACCCCGGTCGAAACCGAAGGTGTGACCCAAAGAATAAAGGGCTCTAGGGAAGGTAGGGGTCCGTGCGAGGACCCACACCCACCCTAGAGTCCACAAAGAACCATAGGGCTCTATGCAGATGCTTCGCAGGGCTCTATGCAGATGCTTCGCTTCCCCTCACTGGCCGACGGGGGCCTCACTGGGCGATTACCATAGGTGGAACCCGAATGCCACGTTTCGCACTCTGCCTGAACTGATGCATGTAGGGAGGATTGGGAGTAGCAGGGGCAATGGGTGAGAGGAATACGGAGTGGAAGGGAGAGAGTAGGAAAGAACGAGGGAAGAGAGGGGAGAGGGGGTGAAAACAGGGGACAAATGGGAGAGGGGCTGCTGAATTGCGTACCAGAAGTGAAACCCAAACGTCACGTTTTCCACTCTGCCGGAACTGATGCATGCAGTGACATTCTGAAGCTCTGCTGCGGCGAGTGTGAGGATTTTTTGCATGTATGCAGGCAGCGTGAGTGGGACTGCATGTATGCAGGCAGCGTGAGTGGGACTGCATGTATGCAGGCAGCGTGAGTGGGACTGCATGTATGCAGGCAGCGTGAGTGGGACTGCATGTATGCAGGCAGCGTGAGTGGGACTGCATGTATGCAGGCAGCGTGAGTGGGACTGCATGTATGCAGGCAGCGTGAGTGGGACTGCATGTATGCAGGCAGCGTGAGTGGGACTGCATGTATGCAGGCAGCGTGAGTGGGACTGCATGTATGCAGGCAGCGTGAGTGGGACTGCATGTATGCAGGCAGCGTGAGTGGGACTGCATGTATGCAGGCAGCGTGAGTGGGACTGCATGTATGCAGGCAGCGTGAGTGGGACTGCATGTATGCAGGCAGCGTGAGTGGGACTGCATGTATGCAGGCAGCGTGAGTGGGACTGCATGTATGCAGGCAGCGTGAGTGGGACTGCATGTATGCAGGCAGCGTGAGTGGGACTGCATGTATGCAGGCAGCGTGAGTGGGACTGCATGTATGCAGGCAGCGTGAGTGGGACTGCATGTATGCAGGCAGCGTGAGTGGGACTGCATGTATGCAGGCAGCGTGAGTGGGACTGCATGTATGCAGGCAGCGTGAGTGGGACTGCATGTATGCAGGCAGCGTGAGTGGGACTGCATGTATGCAGGCAGCGTGAGTGGGACTGCATGTATGCAGGCAGCGTGAGTGGGACTGCATGTATGCAGGCAGCGTGAGTGGGACTGCATGTATGCAGGCAGCGTGAGTGGGACTGCATGTATGCAGGCAGCGTGAGTGGGACTGCATGTATGCAGGCAGCGTGAGTGGGACTGCATGTATGCAGGCAGCGTGAGTGGGACTGCATGTATGCAGGCAGCGTGAGTGGGACTGCATGTATGCAGGCAGCGTGAGTGGGACTGCATGTATGCAGGCAGCGTGAGTGGGACTGCATGTATGCAGGCAGCGTGAGTGGGACTGCATGTATGCAGGCAGCGTGAGTGGGACTGCATGTATGCAGGCAGCGTGAGTGGGACTGCATGTATGCAGGCAGCGTGAGTGGGACTGCATGTATGCAGGCAGCGTGAGTGGGACTGCATGTATGCAGGCAGCGTGAGTGGGACTGCATGTATGCAGGCAGCGTGAGTGGGACTGCATGTATGCAGGCAGCGTGAGTGGGACTGCATGTATGCAGGCAGCGTGAGTGGGACTGCATGTATGCAGGCAGCGTGAGTGGGACTGCATGTATGCAGGCAGCGTGAGTGGGACTGCATGTATGCAGGCAGCGTGAGTGGGACTGCATGTATGCAGGCAGCGTGAGTGGGACTGCATGTATGCAGGCAGCGTGAGTGGGACTGCATGTATGCAGGCAGCGTGAGTGGGACTGCATGTATGCAGGCAGCGTGAGTGGGACTGCATGTATGCAGGCAGCGTGAGTGGGACTGCATGTATGCAGGCAGCGTGAGTGGGACTGCATGTATGCAGGCAGCGTGAGTGGGACTGCATGTATGCAGGCAGCGTGAGTGGGACTGCATGTATGCAGGCAGCGTGAGTGGGACTGCATGTATGCAGGCAGCGTGAGTGGGACTGCATGTATGCAGGCAGCGTGAGTGGGACTGCATGTATGCAGGCAGCGTGAGTGGGACTGCATGTATGCAGGCAGCGTGAGTGGGACTGCATGTATGCAGGCAGCGTGAGTGGGACTGCATGTATGCAGGCAGCGTGAGTGGGACTGCATGTATGCAGGCAGCGTGAGTGGGACTGCATGTATGCAGGCAGCGTGAGTGGGACTGCATGTATGCAGGCAGCGTGAGTGGGACTGCATGTATGCAGGCAGCGTGAGTGGGACTGCATGTATGCAGGCAGCGTGAGTGGGACTGCATGTATGCAGGCAGCGTGAGTGGGACTGCATGTATGCAGGCAGCGTGAGTGGGACTGCATGTATGCAGGCAGCGTGAGTGGGACTGCATGTATGCAGGCAGCGTGAGTGGGACTGCATGTATGCAGGCAGCGTGAGTGGGACTGCATGTATGCAGGCAGCGTGAGTGGGACTGCATGTATGCAGGCAGCGTGAGTGGGACTGCATGTATGCAGGCAGCGTGAGTGGGACTGCATGTATGCAGGCAGCGTGAGTGGGACTGCATGTATGCAGGCAGCGTGAGTGGGACTGCATGTATGCAGGCAGCGTGAGTGGGACTGCATGTATGCAGGCAGCGTGAGTGGGACTGCATGTATGCAGGCAGCGTGAGTGGGACTGCATGTATGCAGGCAGCGTGAGTGGGACTGCATGTATGCAGGCAGCGTGAGTGGGACTGCATGTATGCAGGCAGCGTGAGTGGGACTGCATGTATGCAGGCAGCGTGAGTGGGACTGCATGTATGCAGGCAGCGTGAGTGGGACTGCATGTATGCAGGCAGCGTGAGTGGGACTGCATGTATGCAGGCAGCGTGAGTGGGACTGCATGTATGCAGGCAGCGTGAGTGGGACTGCATGTATGCAGGCAGCGTGAGTGGGACTGCATGTATGCAGGCAGCGTGAGTGGGACTGCATGTATGCAGGCAGCGTGAGTGGGACTGCATGTATGCAGGCAGCGTGAGTGGGACTGCATGTATGCAGGCAGCGTGAGTGGGACTGCATGTATGCAGGCAGCGTGAGTGGGACTGCATGTATGCAGGCAGCGTGAGTGGGACTGCATGTATGCAGGCAGCGTGAGTGGGACTGCATGTATGCAGGCAGCGTGAGTGGGACTGCATGTATGCAGGCAGCGTGAGTGGGACTGCATGTATGCAGGCAGCGTGAGTGGGACTGCATGTATGCAGGCAGCGTGAGTGGGACTGCATGTATGCAGGCAGCGTGAGTGGGACTGCATGTATGCAGGCAGCGTGAGTGGGACTGCATGTATGCAGGCAGCGTGAGTGGGACTGCATGTATGCAGGCAGCGTGAGTGGGACTGCATGTATGCAGGCAGCGTGAGTGGGACTGCATGTATGCAGGCAGCGTGAGTGGGACTGCATGTATGCAGGCAGCGTGAGTGGGACTGCATGTATGCAGGCAGCGTGAGTGGGACTGCATGTATGCAGGCAGCGTGAGTGGGACTGCATGTATGCAGGCAGCGTGAGTGGGACTGCATGTATGCAGGCAGCGTGAGTGGGACTGCATGTATGCAGGCAGCGTGAGTGGGACTGCATGTATGCAGGCAGCGTGAGTGGGACTGCATGTATGCAGGCAGCGTGAGTGGGACTGCATGTATGCAGGCAGCGTGAGTGGGACTGCATGTATGCAGGCAGCGTGAGTGGGACTGCATGTATGCAGGCAGCGTGAGTGGGACTGCATGTATGCAGGCAGCGTGAGTGGGACTGCATGTATGCAGGCAGCGTGAGTGGGACTGCATGTATGCAGGCAGCGTGAGTGGGACTGCATGTATGCAGGCAGCGTGAGTGGGACTGCATGTATGCAGGCAGCGTGAGTGGGACTGCATGTATGCAGGCAGCGTGAGTGGGACTGCATGTATGCAGGCAGCGTGAGTGGGACTGCATGTATGCAGGCAGCGTGAGTGGGACTGCATGTATGCAGGCAGCGTGAGTGGGACTGCATGTATGCAGGCAGCGTGAGTGGGACTGCATGTATGCAGGCAGCGTGAGTGGGACTGCATGTATGCAGGCAGCGTGAGTGGGACTGCATGTATGCAGGCAGCGTGAGTGGGACTGCATGTATGCAGGCAGCGTGAGTGGGACTGCATGTATGCAGGCAGCGTGAGTGGGACTGCATGTATGCAGGCAGCGTGAGTGGGACTGCATGTATGCAGGCAGCGTGAGTGGGACTGCATGTATGCAGGCAGCGTGAGTGGGACTGCATGTATGCAGGCAGCGTGAGTGGGACTGCATGTATGCAGGCAGCGTGAGTGGGACTGCATGTATGCAGGCAGCGTGAGTGGGACTGCATGTATGCAGGCAGCGTGAGTGGGACTGCATGTATGCAGGCAGCGTGAGTGGGACTGCATGTATGCA